CAGAAATCTTGTTAACATATACATACAACATATTTAGATGGAACAAAATAGAACAGCATTTAATGAAAATACCCATCACGACAGATTTCAGGATTAACGTGGGGAAGTAAAAATGCAGATCTAAATTTCACAAATGGAATTTACAAAGCTGTTATCAACTGAACAACTTAGAATGCATTCTAGTCAATGTGCATGATGCCCCCCCCCCCCGAATACACGTATGCTGTACGTTCACAAAAACGTCAACAGACCAAACGTTTTTACTCAAAATGCTAAACCGAACCTTAAATGTCACCGAGATCGCTATATCACACGTAAGCAAAACTTGTAAGGTACCTGGGATTGCATAGCCATAGTACACACATTTCGTTCGTTCTTGTGAAGCCACAGTATACTTTAGTCTCCATTTGAATAGCTAGCCAGTATAGCTTATGAATTAGATCTTTTTTGAAAAACTTCATCTGATACATCTCTAATTATACCATGACTAAGGTCAGGATACCGCCACTGTACCGTGAAGGCTGATTTCAGCATTCAGGTGATACATACAGATTCAATGCTAATATGCTATGTAGTTACAAAAAAGTGTTGAAATAAACAAGCTGGGAAATGTTATCCTGAGACTGAAACAAATAAATACAACTTTTAAACGTGCTCAGATTCCCGAATATGGTTTCCCACCCTCGTTTAATGCATAACAAGTACACCATATATTATGCAACAATCAATGGATCATCAAAAAGCTTGGAGCCACAAAACCATGGAAACTTTTTTTCAGTTAATATGCGTAGGAAATGAAGGCCAGTCGGAGCCACATACCACCCAGATAGAGAGAGAAAAAGCACCACGTGAGACAATGTATTATAAAATTACACAAGAATTCATACATTAATAAAGTTAGTGGGTTAGATTAGGATTCCTGAGAACTAATCGTGAGTTAAACTGTTTTACCAGGATCTGCTTTCAGAGCCACTGTTCGATTAAATACCATCTGAAAGGTAAAAGCAAAGAAGAAATACGACTGAATACAGATGTCAAAATGACTAGAACTTTTTTAATAGATTTTTAGGAGTAAATTATTTTTCAATTGACAAAAAACAACATTCTTTCTGGTGGTTGTTTTAAAAGCAATAAAACTAGCAGCTCATTCCTAATAGTATTGAGTTTACTTTTCAGAAAAAATAACAAAAACATAAGATCGCATGATCACATGTGCATTATAATTATCATTATTCATACACAAACGGTGCAATATGGGCACCAAGAGATGCATCAAACAAAAATAAAACAATATAAAGAGACAGGATTTCATCATGAGCTGACATCAGTTAGAGAACTATCGGAAAACCTGGGAGTACTGGAGAGCTGTTTCGTCCTAGTTTGAGACTCTTCATCAGTGGTAGCACTCCATCATGAATCGGCAGAAGCTGGAATTCATGGGCTGGTCATTAGATCGGGGCCCAGTGGTTTAATGGTCTACGAACTCGCCTTGTAACTGGAAGGTATTGAGTTAGAACCCCAGTGGGAACGTACTGATGTAGAGTTCAAAACTAGGACGAAACGGCTGTACAGTACTTGCAGGTTTCCCAGTGGCTCTTTAACCGATGTCAGCTTATGATGAAATCCTGTAACCAATCAAATCCCCGCAAACCAACACTCGAATATAAAGAAATTAGAATGAAATAAATGAGAGACAACATCCAGAAAACAAGTATTCATAAATATCAAGAGCATTGAGAAGATGGTTCATTACTTAATGTTACTTTCAGAAAGAGAAAAAAGAAAGAAAATGCAGCATGTTTACCGTTGATTACAATTCTTGATTAAACCAGGTAACATGTCGATCCACTTATTTGAATTATCTCTCCGACACACCAACAGATGCTAACCAAACACTGCTATCCTTCATCTCAGGGCACCACATCATGCGCTGACCACCTCTCCGCTTTATCCACCTAGTCCCACAGGTAGCAAAGAGTGTACAGTATGGAAGTCGTTAGGATGACATTCGTAACTTATGCCCAAGACACCGAAACTAATATTCCAAGATGACAACACTGTGCCACCGGACCTCAGAATTACTGACATCATGATACCACCAGTTGCCAGCAATTCAACGGAAGCAACGATGACCAAACATGGAGACTCATAACAAACTCTGAATTCGGATACAAGGCTTCACAGAAGTGGCCCAGGTTGGCGTATGCCAACCTGATTTTCACCATACGGTCAGGGATCTCATCCAACACTCAAATATATGAACTCACGGACTACTTCTGACAGTCTACCCAAGAGGGTAAGTGCAGGCATAGACTCCTACATAGTTTGCGACAATACTTTGCGCTTAGACAACACAAAGCACATACCAAAGCACAAGACGTGGGTCAATAAAACCACCCGCATTGTATTGGCACAGATTACCAATACGGTGTTTTGACGCAGATAAGTCAACATAGAACTGATCAGAACAGAACAAATTGGAGCTAGTATACTTTGAAACAGCATGAAAACAACAAGATAACAAACATCGAAGTGATATTAAACAGACAAGCACTATTTTTTGTGAAGACAGAAATGAATGAACTTCGGTGAATATGTTCAAATCCTTTACGATAAATAGTGAATACACGTGCACAATTTTGAACTATATTCTACTATAACAGGCACAAATAACATTTCTCTACATAAAAACTTGGAGTTTTCATTCATAAAAGATTTGCAGCTGCTCTTTTTCGGTTTCCAATTAGGCGGTGACATAAGTATACAAAAACAAAGAACAGCAATTATCTTCTATGAATATCAGTTTGTAACAATATCAAAGTGATCTATCCCTGTCCCTGACTTTATCCCAACAGTTAGAAAGTGATACATGATTACCCTTTATGTCTAAAGTTAATGCGGATCAGCAACAGGTGATTGCCTGAGCAGATCTGTAAATGACGGTTATCACCGCCGGTTCATTTATTTGGTAGGATGCTTTTAAGAGACCAGGAATGTTCCTTTGCCGGTTAAATTTATTAGCCATGGTTACAATGTTAAGACGAACAGAAGGAAATGAATGGGGAACAGTACTAGTAATGAGAAGAGGCAATAACAACTAAGAAAGAAGAAGATTGGAAGGGTAAATGATGAATATGTAAACGTTGTGTATTAATGGAAACACGTTGAAGGTTTACGTTTCCTAGTTTTCCACACTGTAGAAGATAATCCCTTATAAGAGTAGTCGAAAAATACAAAGCATAAGTTTAAAGTTATCACATAACACAAGGGAACATTTATCTGAAGTCAGTTACACAGAATGTGTTTGAGACTACTAAGATTTATGGAGTTCCATCGTCAAACGCCCCAACCACTGGTTACAGATCGTCATAGTGTAAGTCGAGGTGTACAGTTTTTGGAGATAGGTGTTTTAGAACCTCCTAACTACAGAGACATATGACAGAGAGACTGTTGGCGATTTGGGGGAGCCATTTTCACATCGTCCATACCCAAAACTGTTATCATATCTCTGTGGACAAGCGGTATAGTTACCCGGGTCACTGAAATGTTCAGTTCTGAACAGTGATTTCAAGGTATCACATATAACGGGAGATTATTAGTTGTGAAAATCTAGGAAAATGTGCAACAAACTCTGAGAGACAACAATACATAGTTTAAGACTTCTCAAGGAAGAAAAACGTTATGTCAAGCAATGTGAAGACAGTGAGATGAAGTGAATAAACAGTATTTGCTCTGCGAAAAAATTGGTGAAGGATGTCACTGACTGACGGGTTTCAACATAGAATATTACACAGAAGTGCAGCAGTTGCAGCTGCCACAATTCATTTAGTACGCAAAGGAAGATAAAAGAGAGAAAAACAGGTATTTGAAAGAATGATAACCAGCAGAAATGTGAGAGAGAGAAAGAATAGTAACATGGGAAAACAACAGGGTTTAATAGATATGCGAAACCACAAAAAATGAGTGCACCTGCACCAGCCATTGAGAACGATTTTGAGCCATATCACCAATTGTCTCCAGGGTTCATTGGTTCTTACCATCATGAGGACCTAAACCAGTAAGTCAACACCTCCCTACATGACTTAAACTGACTGTCATGGATTTCATTGACTGACAAAGGCATTTTTTGGTTTGGCCACCACTAGCTCTCTCTTTGCCAACTTGATCCTATATCCGTTAACACTGTTCATCAAAGAAGGCATTGGCTAGGCTAGGTATGCGTAACACATGTCCTAGCCATCTCTTTCAATCCGTGTAACTTCACAACCTCGTCGATTAATCTCACCTACTTACTTAGCACTCGACGCCTAACCTCATCCTATTATACCACCTAACACGGGAGATAGAACACACGCACATACGATTAAAGACAGCTAGTCTTTTCATATCTCCTACTTTCAATGGTCATTTCTCACAACCATAAAGGAGAATGAAGAGAACTACTGAGCAGCACCCACGTCCTTTGATCGATAGCCAGATAACAAGTCTACGCCAGAAATGGAGTAAGTTGGCAAATACCACACGAGCCTTTTGTACCCTTGCTGAGATTTTGGAAGGGTGTCATGAACACTGAAAATCTAAAGAGTGCTTACCGGTTCTTTATTTAACAGAAAACTGTTGTATCTAACTGGATCAGACTTCAAGTCAAAAGCTCGAGGGATGATCCAGTCTGCTCCAGTCTGAGAGTCTAGGAAGTACCCAAGCCATCGCATAAATTGCAAAATTTTGTGTGGAGCATCTTTTGGTGCCCATAAATGTGATGTGTTATAATAATATTATAATAATACCTACAGCCAATACGTGAAAGTTAATCACACTAGCCACATTCTCAAGCTACAATAAATACAACTGACTGTAAAGCTATAACTTTGTGCATCGACAGTTAAACCTTACGAAATGGAAAACTGCATAATTAGGAAGTATATATATGTAAACTATGGAAAGCAGTTTTAGGTCAGTTTTCATGAAATATATTATTTGCTACCTAGTATGATACTTACACGTTCAGAGTTTGTATCAGGATCCACAGAAAAGAAACCAATACGTTCAAATTGATATGCACTGAAAACCTTTGCATCTTTAACTGACTGTTCAACTAAAGCATCTGGAATTATGACTAATGAATTCTGTAAGATAGTCAAGAATGAAAAATAAACACCAAATTTAGTGCAAGCAATAAAACAAAATCAGATTTATTAACATAAAGTATAAAGTTAAGTTTGAGCAATGTGCATATCACATTCTGTACGATAATCTCTCTCAAAATAAAAAGCCAAAATTATTTTTTTTTTCTTTTTGAATCAAATTCAAAAACTAGTCAGCAGTTTGTAATTTCCACCACAGTTTCCTTTGGGAACTAAAATATTCAGATCATGGTATGTGATCTGCTTGATATTATAAATGATAATCAAGAAAGTAAACATATTTGCATAAAACTACATATTAATAATTGACTGAGATAAGTAGTTGCAAACCGCACACATCAACAGGTAGTGCTTGTTGATCAGCCGAACCGAAGGGATTTAAACACCAGACGGACGCTTCGCTAGTTTGGGATCGAACTCATCAGAGATGTGCTCGGTTTTGACTCAGCTCAAAGAGTCGCATTGTCATAGAATGTAGAAGCAAACTGACTCTGTCCTTTGAGATAAGTAGGTCTGAGTGCACCATTGATGAACTCTACTCGTCCAGTGCTTAGATCACTTCGACCTGGCTAGCAAGCACTGCCGGTAGATATGAGTGGTATGCAACTACTCATTTCGGCCGATCAGTAGTATATAAGTTTATGCGGGTTATTTTTTCTTTTTAACTTCAAACCATTAGTTCTGTGCCATACAGAAGCATCTGAACCGGCTTACATCCTAAATCGAACCAAAGGACCAAATTCACTGACTACACTTAAGAGCTATATTACAAATAACTGAAATTTGAAAACACAAAATAGGGTTTGGATTAAGTATTTGTTTGTTAACGATGAATAATAAGCGGTACAACTTTATTCAAAATGAAATCCCTGCAAACTAACATTTGAAAATTGGTGTAATGCTGACTAGCGACTGACTACAAGACGAAGTTGCCTGGAGTTCTAGTGAGTTGTGACCAGAGGAGTCCACTAGATAAGGTATGAGGACAAACCGCCTGGCGATCTCATTGAACAGAAGTTAAAATTTATAGGCCATTGGGTCGGGGTCTCAGAGGCTGAGTGTTCTACGCGGCTCACCTCGTAATCTGAATGTCCTGGGTTCGAACCCCAGTGAGTGGGTGCGTACTGCCGATAAGTGCTAAACCAGGACGAAACCGCTGGTTTTCCAATGGCTTTTAAGTGATATCAGCTCATGATCAAGCCTGAATCACATACAACAGAAGCTGATGATACCCCTTAAAAAGTTTGATCGAGACATACATTGTTACCTCAATTTTTATCGTACTCAGCTGAGTAAATGCGCAGTTTTAACAACAGAAATGCCTAGACCATTCCATTTAATTAATAAATATATGCATATAAAATGTGAAGTAGACCCCTCATTATATTTCAAGAGAGATAACTAACAAAAACAAAACAAATTCAATAAATAGCAACAAGAATATAAGTATATAAACATACTGGATTTATCACAGACATGAATCCACCCTTTTCGCTTTCTGGTTCTTTGGAGGTAAATCTAAAAATGTTAAGGAAAAATTAACAGTGTATTACTGACAGATTTTTCTAAAATAATTTATGTTTCAGATACATCCTGTAAGGTGTTTTTAATGAAACTTACAGACGATCGTATAATCGAGCCTCAAACTTAAGAGGATTGGACACCCAATGAATGAAAGCCTTTGGTTTTGCAGTATCTTCAACCTTCCGACCCTTTACAAATAAATGGACAATTTTTCCACTGGAATCCTAAATGCGGAATAAAGAGAATAATGAGTAAATTAGGCGTCTTCAAAAACTGTAACGCTAACTAGGTTGTAAATAACTGCTTTAAGTAGCCATGTTTATTTCAATTACATAATGCAGAACACTAACCTGTCGCTTAGCGACTTATTTGTATTTAACAGAATATAACATCCATTCACCATATATATATATATATATATATATATATATATATGTATATTCATTGTGAATGTTTACTCCTATAGGTGAGTAAGGGAACGACTAGGACATAAATACTTCTACATAAGTCATTCACACATAAATGGTCATTGAAACACGAAAAACCTTCAGTGAACGTTAAGATCACTTTGAGCACTTTATGATCATGTATCAACTCAGTTAAGAATATTATTTGGTGAATAACAACTATCAGTGGAATCTAGGATGGGCATTTCATCTTATTCATATCTCGTTAGCCACCAGCAGTGAATGGTGGCATTCCTGCTGAGACCGGGAATAAGCATCCTGGATTCCACTGAAAATCACCATCTACCGAATAGAAACATTTTATCGATCCCCAGACATTCTCGAAGCGTCCGTAATAGGAGCTAACATGTCAATACAGACTAAACATTTTGGTCCAGTCTAGTCAATTAACGCAAAATATACAATTAAATCAAATGAGTGAGTCAAGATTACTTGTGCTGAAGAACAAAACAGCTGTTGTGCAGCAGGGTAACTGAGATTAGGAAATAGCCAGGATAACTGATGTGATGTTATGATGAGCTAAATATGACTACACAACATACGGTACTGTACTACAACCAAATGAAAGTATTCTCGTGGTCAGTGTAAATACAATAAAACTATTTTTCAACGCTTAAATCCTCAACACCACTATCATACTCTTGTTAAATATAAATGTAGTTGTGTTTAGAGCGGTGGCTCATTAGTGCAGACACTGAACTCCCAACCAGTGGGTTACAGACTCAAACATCGCTCCACGCACCGAGGTTTGGTCAGCTACAGGTAGTAATAAAATCAGCCCTCACAAAGTAGGTTGGGCTTATTACCAACTGCATGAAATCACAAATGGTTGTTGAGTAGCATTATGGTTGTATTTCAAATACAATTACCATACAATTGATCTGTGAACACAAACTGTTCCGATTAGCTTATTTTCAGTTTAAATTAATACGGCCGAAACCGACCAGTGAAAACGTATTACATATACAAAAACATATTACAAATAAGAGCAAAAACCACTGTATGAATGATTATTTCGTGATATATATGGTTAACAGAGCGAAGATATATTCTGTTCAAAATATCTTACACAATTCTTTACCTTTTTCAATTCAGTAAACTCTAAAACAAGACCTGTGTAACGAAGACCAACTGATTGATTTGGGGTTAAACGGCGATAGCCTCTATCAGCTACTTCTTGGAAATCTGTACTTTCTATATACAATTCTGGTTGTAAGATAACACTATGGGTTTTGCCATCCGGAATGGCTGGAAAATCGGCAACTGTTAGCTACAAATGGATAACAGCAACAACAAAAAACGCTTCAGTTAGCTTTGAACTATTTAAGAAAAAACAAACATATTTGCAAGATGGAAAATCCAATACTACACGAAAAATATGTCAAGTTGTCATTCTGCATCATAGCATGGCTGTTTTCACTGAACAGCTCAAGCTACGGGTTTTTCTCGACCTACAAATTATACTACAATAAATGGTCATTGAAATTATGAAGACTGGTTGAAATACCCCTTATGTGAATGAATGATCCCCAAAGCAGATGAAATAATGTCGAATAAAATCTATAGCTATAAAATGTGAACAATTATCTCAAATATAAACTCTGTACTGATGAATACAAAATATAATTACCACCTTTCCTGAACTAGCCAGTTCAATGTCCATTCACAAACCAGTATCATGCAGAAATTCAGTCAATATTAAGTACTGGGAAATTATTTTATCATAGTTAGTGATCAACTAGTTCCCCACAAACCTTTTGATTTGGAACTGACTGCAAAATACACTTCTCTAATACACTTCTAATAAGGTCAATCAAGTTGAACAAACAGACAGAAATAAGAAAGCCAGGCCAGTGAATGCAACCTTATGGTATGACGCTTGATTTTGAGTGCTGTCGGCACGCAGTACTTAAACTATGAAATAGAATGAGACAGCAGTCAAGTGCTATTTGGTCTTCAATGGCCTTCTAACCGAAGTTATTATAGTGAGAACAAGAACTACATTGAATTCATTTTGCCACAAACCCTACAATTGTGCTAAAAGAAGTGAGCAGATTAGTGCAGAAACAATGAGGATTCAAAAATAAACTAAGTCCACCTGCTATTTCTGACAATCCAGAGATATGGTAACTTGGAATATTTAATAGCAGGTTTTAGTGAATATATAAATATATATATATGCAAAATTAAGTTAGAATGAAAGTGAGAAAATCGCGGGAGTAATTCATGAATAGTTACACTAACAAGTGAAATCACTTGCTCAGATTAGCTCATAATGGACATTTTCAGACTGACGGCAAAGTACAACAACTTCGAAACAATTTCCACTCTATTTTCGGGGGGGGGGAAGGGAATGTAAAACTAACTTTGAGTCAAAATATTTGAAAAATCAAAATTCACCTACCTCAATAGAAGGCTTATCGCCATACAATTCAGACCAATTTGTAATTGTTACACAAATGGGTTCTAAGACAGCCATAACGCGTGGAGCATGATCATTTAAATAATCTCGTACACAAGCATCTAGAGCAGATGGATCAAGAGTGGTCTGAGCCATGGTAACACCAATGCGTTCACAAAATGTGTTAATAGCTTGAGGTGGGAAACCACGACGACGAAGTGCTGTTAGAGTTACTAGTCGTGGATCATCCCAATCATTTACAATACCAGATTCAATCAACTTTAAAATTTTGCGTTTAGATACTACACTGTAGTACAAATTTAAACGGCCATATTCCCACTGAACTGGACAGTAAATATCTAGAGAATTACAAAGCCAATAATAAGCAGGGCGCCTGGAATTACAAAGTTTTAAAAAAACAATTTAATGAATGTCAACGAATACCATGTTGTAAAACTAATACAAGACAAAAAGACAATCACCTTTAGTATTACCATAATAAGACAATAAGTAACAACTATAGCATAAAAGTAGGATTTGACTCCTTAACTTGAAAAAAACACTTATTCCTCGCTGGTCACACAAACTTAATCAATAATGTTTCATTATATTACTCTATCTCCAAGAAAATTCTGCGGTAAAAATAAGTGAACTGCCATTGCAGACAGCTAACTTCGGTGTGACGGTTTTCAGTACATCGAATTAAGCAGTACAAGAATATTTCGACCACATCGTAAATTTCTTGATTCCGCTTTTAAATGGACAAAGTGAGATTGATGTTCCTCAGCAGAAACTGAAACTCTTGTTTGGAACAGCAAAAATATACGAAATGAAGATTACTAAAATGCAAACCCAAACTATAGAGTGTACGGCTAGATAAATAAAGCAGTTATAATACCGTGAAAGGCCTAACATCGATGCACTCATTATCAAATCTCAACCTTTTCATACACTGCACATTTTTCGTTAGACTAATGCTAAAATGTGACCCTTTTAGACACCTCGTCATTTTCTTAAAAATGTAAGTGGATGTAGGCTACCTAATAAATCCTACAGAATTTAACACAAAAAAATGCCAAAATAGTCCTTGTCTATTAGTTAATACGTGCAACCAAATAACAAATTTGTTGTTTTCAATGAAGATTAATGGTGTGAAAAAAATCTGAAAGTGATAAAACATTGACCTTTATTAGTTTTTTAAAGATCTGCATACAGGAGAGTTAAGATCAAACAGTAACTAGAAATGTTACTGTCTAAAAACATCTAAGTGGAAGGATCAGAATACCAGTTGCTCCAAATCAAACTTTACTATGATTAAAGTGGTCTTCCTATACTAATAAAGTTAATTAGAATTATTCAAAGAAAAACAACAATGGTAAATATGGTAAATATCAATTACAATCCACACTGATTACTCACCTGGATTGGAACTCTTTAGTGCATAATGAATGTGTAATATTTTCGATGGAGTCACACAAGCAATGTGTATAATCGTAAGTAGGATAAATGCACCTAGAAAGAGTAAAGAAGTATGACAGAAGGCAAATTGCTCACCAAGTAGTACCAGTACGATGATGGGGTGTCATTTTTATTCGATAAGCTACCGGATCAACTTTTCCATCTCCCAGTGTTACTTTCATACGCAAAGTAGCTTTTCCTTCTTCAATCTGAAGAAAGGGAATGAAAAATGAATTACACGAAAATATATCAACTGATCTGATTTTTAAAAAAATACCTTTTTAACATTTATTAGGAGGGATAAAATGAAATTATCGGTGTCTAACATTATATATGCATGGTAGTTGATTTGCGAAGAAATAAACAGGAGTTTTGGAGAAATATCACTTATAATCAAATCAATAACAGCTATCTCTACATATACCGTGATTATACAACTACAGGACAATAGTGGGCAAAACTATTTCTATATATGACCACATTGCAACATAGAAGTGAATACAGCTCAGGAATAAGGCACACGCTAGTGATAGAGTAAAAGAGTCTTGTCTACCCTGTGACAGTCAATGACTGAAAATACTCATAAACACTGTACATTAGGATAAAATATATAGGATCACGATAAAAGTCCTCATTAAAGCGTCTTACATACCGTATATGGCAGTTTTGCAGTACAATCTAGTTTTGATGCTATTTATTTTAAAAGATGGTGCAAATTATGTACGCCTTTTTGTAAAACCATATCGGTAAACCGAAAACAGTTACTAGTGAAGAAAACTAATTATACATTACGCTTAACTATCCTCCGGAATAAAGACCGTCAAAAAACTGTAGCACCAAGAGAATGACCTTTACCACGCCTAAATAGTAAACACAGTGAAAATTCTAAATAAATAGACCGTATATGCATAATAAACCGACTACAAGTTGTATAACGAATATCACCTATCACACACCTTAGTAGAATACTAATTATGCTCGCAGCACACCAGCACAAACTGTTTTACTACTATTAGCCCCTCAGATGTAAAGTAAACCTTAATTTGACAGAAGACGCTGAACAATAACTTAAGAACAAACTGAAAATGATGCAGATAATACGAGACAATTACATCAGGTGTTTTAAATAACATCAACACTCAATGACACTAATAACTTCTACTTTGGATGTACTTAAAGAATCTCCTATGTAAATATTCAACAACCAGGACTTGTCTTTATTATGATAAGTTCGACAGGTTGTTTGTTAGGAAATTTAGCGCTACTACTAGTAGTTTGGAACGTGCATACATACCTTGCCATTCTTCATGTCTTCAAAGAGTTGTAAGGACTCCTCAACTGGTCTATCTCTCCATGGAGATGGTGGAGGATTGAAACCTCGTATTTCTTCAACGGCCTGATGACAAACATATGCTAGTTTCAGTTTAATCAACTTAATTGCCCATTCGTATAGCTGCTGGAAATTATCCGAAGCATGAGTAATTTTGTAAGGAGTAAATCCTATTTAACATTAGTCTTTTATAAACTTACCCAGCCATCTAACCATATCCTCTATTGCCTCAAAAAACTCCGCTTCTTCCTTTTCGGGATTGGTATCATCATACCGCAGATAAGTTATGCCACCATTTTTCTAAAATCAAAAAGTCACAAATAGCACAAACTTACCTTTGCGTAACCAAAATTGAAGTTAATCGCTTTGGCATGACCAATGTGCAAAATACCATTCGGTTCTGGTGGAAATCTGGTAACCACTTTACCACCTGTCTGCTTCAGATGCTCTTTCAGAAGTCGCATTGTGTTCTTAGTTACTACATATCCAGGAGAATTATAATTTTCTCCCGGCTTGTGAAACTTAGCCGCATCACCAACAACATCACTATCGCCGTTAACTAACATTGTTAACTAGAACACCGGGTACTCGTGAGGTAGCGACCTAGAAAAAGATGCGCGGGTATCTTGAGAGATATTGTACACTGAAAAGCAGACACCTCACCTCCGTTGCATGTATGCAGCTGCATATACCCTAATTCATGAATTTCACGTTAAGTCAATAGGACCGCAAGGCATAATTTTCCTAGTGCAAGAAACCAATCCAATATCCAATCCTGTTAAGTTGAAGGTAATTGTCTAAACAATATTTCAAAGGAACGCCAACGATGTGTGGAATCAGTAGAGTATTTGTGTGAGCGTAGGAATGACAGCGGTAATTTTAATACCACCCTTTACGACAGAGACGTGTAACGGGTGAATTGTTCGTCAAATGATTGAGTGACATCTCTCCAAGCTCACAAGTTCACTTTATTTTGGCTGGACTTATCCGGCATGTTGGTTGAAATTTCGCTCGGTAAATTTTTTTGTCAATAATTTTCAGTAAAATTGTGTTATACGTTTTTTGAATTGATAGGAATTCTCATTTTCTGGCTAGTTATGTTGGTGTCCGCGTCATGTAATCTGACTGCGACACACTAAGCATATTGGTTGTAATGGTTAGTGTTTCATGAGGAATGAGTCAAAACATCGGTATAATGAAGAAGATGGGATAGTTTACTTCGGCCAAGTTAAACTTTAGACACCAATAACTACCAATCAGCGAACGACGTCGAATTATCCAATGAGATTCACGAACGTAGTTCAATGTTGTATAGCGCTTGATTCGTGTCAGTGCGTGTCCTTACAAGGTTGCGTTTGTAATTCGAGGAGGATAGCGTCTTTCAGTATTGCCTGGACTTAGGCTTGCTTCGAAAGGAGAGAAGTTGTTCGTGTGATGGTGTCATGACTCCAAAAAGCTATACTAGGTCAACTGATGGTTTTGTACATCGTTGTGGAATATGCTGGAAGCGAGTTAGTATTAGAGAGGGTAATATTTCGTAGGAGATATTTTTGCTACGTCGCATCTCTCCCTAACCCAGATTTTGTACATTTGCAATTACTGAGTACTGAAACAGCCCGTGAGAGCCTCTGCTGCCAAGACGGAGAACAGCCTCGTCTCAACAGTTCAGTGGTACCAGCACTGCAGAGACATCGCCTCATGGAGAATGGACAGAATTACTTCGTTGTTAGGCGGAGACGACGTAGTAGTCCATGTGTATGAGACAGTGTTGGTGAAGAAGAAATATAACCGCGGTCGTTAGAGAGAGAACAACATTTGGGTCATAGGTTTATACGACACGTCCCTCCGAAAAGGATTTGTTGAGAGAATAGCAGACAGGAAGGAGACTACTCTGGTACCTATTATAAAGCGACTTGTGAAACCGGGATCAATTGTACATACCGACGAGTGGAAAGGCTATGATTCATTGTCATCCCTCGGATACATTCATCACAGAGTGAACCACTCCAGTGATTTCGTGGACCCAGTTACAGGAGCTCATACAAATTCCATTGAAGGATTTTGGGGTCGTTTGAAAAATAGAGTAAGGGCTATAAATGGACCTCAAAAGGATCTCATTTAGATGAACATTATTATTATTATTTAGATGAACATATGTATAGAATGTGGTGTGACTTCTCTATTGACAGTGCCATGCTGAATTGGGAAATGTTTCTCTCCCATGTTCGGGAAACATACCCATTGTAACCGTTTTATCATTTTTTTTGTGCATTTTTCTATAAATATACGTTTCCGCTTATCATAAACGTCTCTTACATGTGATTGGTCCGTTCAAGGTCGTTTGCTGATTGGTTGTTATTGGTGTCGAAAGTTTAACTTTCCCAGATGGGATAGTTTACTTCTTGTAAAAGCTGCAGCTTTCAACATAGTGTGATTCAATGAAGACCACGTCAAAATGTGGCTATTTTCGTGTGAAGAACAGTACTATTTGACAAAAGAATGCTATCAATACATGGGAATCACCTATAAATGCTAACAGAACCTTCTTTTGGAATAGAAGTTATAATGTAGCCGTGTCTTTCACTGTATGTGTTTGGACAGGAATTATGGTAAGTTGAAAGGTTATGTCTAAGTAAATTTAACATATATTTCACTGATTGATGCAGTGTAACATGGGTTATGTGAATTCAATGTATCGAAGAAACCTCTATTAATATTGTGCCATTGTTTGCTTAGCTGACTGCTAGGCTAAAAAATGTAGGTGGTTCTCGTGATTGTCGCAAGTGCAGTGCATTTGAGAAGGCAATAACTCGTTTAATTTTCCTCACTGTTTCACTTAGTGCAATTATTCACTGTATAGTAATAATATACATGTGGTTTGTGTTGATTACGAGAATGTAATCTAGTTAGCTCTATTATTATTAATCTACCATCTGACACTAAACTTAATACTGCAATGTTTTTGATCACCAATAGTGGAAATGAATTTCTTCTGAAATTTCCATTTACCTGAAACACTACAAATACAGTGTCACGATTGAATGTCTAGGTTGCATTATATGTCATTGTTATCCTCATCAACACAACAGGTCTGCGTATCTTACAATATTTTAAGTGTTTCTCTATATTGTTTACACTCTGCATAGTTGCTTAGAGTTGAGGCATGTTCAGCTTATATTTGATGACTACAGGTTCCTAAATATGAGAATGTAATTTCTGTAGGATTCAGAAAACTATGCTCACTAGACATTACTGAGATTGTGGATCAATTTCTAAGCTACATATTTGCAATATCTCATTTAACGTAGACGTATTTAGTGTGAAATTGACGAGAGAATGACGTCTCATCAGTATGGGTGTTTCAGAGTTTATCTTGAAATTTGCGTGCAATCCTCTTATGCTGGACAACTTATGAGGTCTATATATGCATACGGTGTCAATACAAAGACCAGCAGTGGACTACAAATACTTTTAATTGTATGAGAACTTTACTTAGTATTAATAGAATCAGTGTATACTAATGTATAAAATTGTTTCATAACCTCATGTTGTGCTTCATATTTTAGGTATATGGAGGTTGTGGAATGTGAAATCAGTGGAAATGTCAATCTGTCAAACTAACGCTAATACCCTTCATCATATTTTTCAGGGTGAGGATGTGTTCTATGACGTGTTAATTTTTCCGCGCCTCAGGTTTTCTCGTCTTTCATTGGCTGGAACAGTGGCGGCTAATTTTACATTTAATTTGTCCTTGTTAGGTGATGTCGTTGCAGGTTTGTGTGCTTGAGGTATGCGTTGTTTACAAGCATATTTGATGAAAATAAATGTGAAATTTGAGTATTCTAACGTTTTCTTTTACTTATTTGTGCATGTACAAGGCTTGGCTTATCATACACTCGGTTTGTTGGCCTATCGGTTGCTGGCGATGTCAAGGAACCCGTGAGTTCTTTGGCTTTTCTCGATTTTAGGTTATACGTGCAGCATTTTATCGGTGGATATTGCTCAGTGATGTATTTAAATGTTGCTTTTTCTACGGAATTATATTGAAACAGTCGTGAGACAGATGGATACTAATTGACAAAGCCTTTTTAGTTTATTTCAGGTAGCCAATGCGAGTGAGAGCATTATTTATCCTGTAATATTGTGTGCATAATTCTATTTTTGTTTACTCTTCCACCTTTTGTAGTTAATAATGTGCTGCATAAGTGTCAACGATGGACATGGTCTCGCGACTCGTGCGCATCTCAAAGCGGCAGAAGTAATCGCACAAATGGACCATTTTCTTAATATGTAAACAAACTGATGTTGTATTATAATAAATATGAACTTTTCATATAAATCTTGTTGTCTTTCAATTCATGTATTCGCTTTGTGAGCACGGCATGCTAGACCGGTGCTCCCTAGGACTTGAACTCGTTACTATACTTAAGTGTAATTCTGTAGGAACACTATCGACCGATATGCGTGGTGAATTATAAGTAGTTTAGTGGCCCTTAAGTCTCTGTCTACAGTTACGTGAAAACGTCTCATAGTCATACGCAAGTCTGTATGGAACAATGACAACAATAGGTAGAACTTAGGCACTGCATTGCAGTTCCAGTTCGTATACGGTTAGGTGTATTCCAAATCAGTGTATTACTAATATTTAAATTAAAGCGTTATGGCAGTCCCTATGATAACGGGTGTTAACGTATACTGTAAAATTAAGTTTACACATAACGAATAAATAAGTAGGTTGAGCTGTAGCAGTCGTAGTAACATTCCGCTTACGTTTAATTATGCAGTCAAATAAATCATCAAGTATCATTGATAAGTCTGACATCTGCATCTTTTCATGCAAAAAAACTTAGTTTCACTCAGATAGAATAAGAAAAGTATTGTAAGCAGGATGTTAAATCTATTTAATGAAAAAAAATAAGCAAATGTCTTTACACAATTGTTTTTCGTAATTATTTCGCCCATGTTGAATTGCTGTGACCAAGTTGACTGACATTACCGGATATCTGTAAATAAGTGAACAAAGTGTATGTTTTTAAATCGCTGAAGTAAGGAAGAAGTAATGTTAAAGTTAAACGCTTTAAATTTCCATACCTTTACTGAAAAAGGTTCATTTTCCTTTTTCATTCTTTGGTGATGACAGCATTCTTCTGTATTTTTTAATGTCACACAGAGATTGTTCGTCTAATGCAGTATAGCAGCAAGCAAATAATAAGTGTTAACTAGTAAACCATTCACAATGAACACTGTACAGAAAACTTCATCACATCTTCATTTTAACCAACTTTTCCTTCACGCACAGAAGCATACAGTCACTACATACACTCAAGCATTGTAACCTGAACATCACAAAATCCCTATAGATAACTTCTTTCATAATAAATGATTTAAACATATGAGCCATAAGTGCATCTTCCATATCCTTCATAGCCAGAAGTAATTCATTAAGGATCTCAGAATATCTTAGTGATCTGAACACGAACGATTGTTAAGACTGGGATAACTTATGTAACAGGTGCAGTAGTTGTAGGACACACCTGCTAGCTACTAATCGACAGAAAATTGATACTAATTTTAAGTAGTCTGACATTTCAGGAGGACCATCTGCACTATTCTTCGTAACC